GAAACAAAATGGACAACAGAGAAAAACGAAAATCTTCACCAACCTTAGAAGAACTCGTGAAGGAATTACATTCAAAAGAAAAACCACTAAAACAGTAGAAAAGAAAAAACCACGAAAAAATACAACCAATACAGAAGCGGAAATTAAAAATAAAACAGTAACCGCAAAACGAAGAAACACAAAAAACGCTAGAAAAACAACAAAAAGAACTCACAGGACAGAAAATACCAAAACAGCAGCCGACAACAAAAACCACAGAAGCCTCACAGGAACCGCAAAATCAAAAGCCACAAAGAACAGCAGAACAAAAACCAAAGGAACCCACGAAACAAAAACCACCAAAACAGCAGGCGACAACAAAAACCACAGAGGTCACATTGGAATAGCAAAGTCAAAAGCCACAAAAAAACAGTAGAACAAAAACCAAAGGAACCACGAAACAGCAGCCGACAACAAAAACCACAGAAGACACACAGGAACCGCAAAATCAAAAGCCACAAAGAACAGTAGAACAAAAAGCAAAGGAACTCACGAAACAAAAACCACCAAAATTGCAGATTATAACAAAAACCATAGGACCCAAACAGGAACCGCAAAACCAAGGGCCACAAAAAACAATCACACAACCAACCGAACTAACAGAAAAAAAAAACACCAAGTCGACAGCCAACACCAGAAGCCAAGGAACAACTTCCAACTACCGAAACAGTAGAAACCGAATGGGAAGAAATTGCCGAAGAAATCGATTTCAAAATTATATCTACGTTGGTCGAAGATACTAACTAACCCAAATCAACAACTCAGAAAAGAAAAAATTCGTAAAATCCACGAATTAATATATTTCACCAATAAAAAAATTGAACCAACTTAAGACGGCAGTCGAATACGAAGAAAAACCTAAAACCAAATTAAAAGAAGCTTTAAAAAAAATTGAAAAAAAAAAACGTAGAGATCAGGCGGCATTGGCAGTCCGACGGATACGGATCATGATGGAGCGTCTCGGCTAGAAAGTTTTGGAAGTTAAAGTTCTCTTAGGTCCGCGCAAACGCGAAATTATCAACTTGCCTAAAATTGAAATAACATTGAGCGTTCCACAACTTCCTCGACCGATAAAGGGAGTACAATTTCCCATACGGTTGGCATTCGCAATGACGATCAACAAAAGTCAAGGACACGCGTACGCAAGAGTAGGATTCCATTTGCCAAGCCCGTGTTTCGCGCATGGACAACTCTATGTAGCGTTCTCTAGGATGGGTTCACCTGAGGACACGGCAACAAGGCGCTGTTAGACGCAGAGACGGAGTTTTAAATTGACGCGTAACGTCGTTTACTCCAATATTTTTCACAATCAGGAACCACCTCAACAACGGTTACCCTAGAATCCTACTCGTGTGATTTTCGCCATGGGAATGAAGACTTAACTCGTTCATACAGCTGCCTCAAATTCGTTACGAGAAAGGAGCCTCATCTCGTTCAGAGACGTAGAATATTTATAATTACAGCGAGTCGTAGAAAATGTATAATAGCGAACAGCTGCCCCAAGTCCGTCACGACAGTGGAGACTATCTCGTTCAGAGGCGTAAAATATTTATAATTATAGCGAACAACTGCCTCAAATTCGTCACGAGAGTGGAGACTATCTCGTTCAGAATCCGTCACGAGAGTGGAGATTATCTTATTTATAGACACATAATTTTACAATTATAGCGAACAGCTGAATCATGTCCGTCGTGAGAATGGAGACTTAACGCGTTTAGAGACTTAGAATATTTATAATTATTATATTATATAAACTTATTTCAATTATCATATATAACAAGAAAAAGTAAATTCTATGTAATATTTTTTGAAACTAACGCATATTTGTATACATTTTTTTTAATTAATTGATTAAAAAACATTTCAATTATCATTGCATATTTTCCAATTTTGTTGTTAAATTATTATAGGATATTCATTTTTTATATACGATCCAATTACCATCATTATTACTTTAATTTATTATTAATTTCCCTATTACTAAGTTCGAAATTATTTCTCTCGTACGTTAACTACATTTTTGTCAATTTCCCCTGCATTTTAAAATTGTTTTAATTTAATGTATATTCCAATTTGGATAATAAATGAAATATTGAATAAATGAATTAGCACTATATTATTTCCTTCTTTAAAATGTAAGAAGAAATGTAAAATATCGATTTTACTACAGTAATTTTTTCTTTTAATTTTAGGGGCCCGACTATCATCTGTATCGGGGCAATTGATAATGTAAGTACCCTTATAAATATTATCGTTTCCGTGCTAGTGTTTCTTAGTTTTAATATTTAAAAATACACAAAACTTTAAAACCTTTTGTACAACAATTTTTCTTGTTTTTTTCAGAATATTCGATTTAATCATGCGCGTTAATAATGAATCGCGTATTATTACTAGGGGTCAAATGAGAGATCGCCAATCTTTGGAATCTCGTCGTCGATTGATAGTTATACAACTTCGTCTTATTTTTTTCAACATCCCCGAATTAAATATAATTATCCAACCATTAACATCTTCTCAAATTTTGCAATGTTTCAATGCCCGTCGTGTGATTATACCGATTCGAAACTGGTTGCGGGCGGTTTTATATCGTTTACCTCCAACATCAAATCGCGTTTTCAGAACCCTCAGAGAGAGATATATATAATTTTGCGTGGATTATCTGTCATCTTGCCACCTTTGTTTCCGATTGAGCAACGGGAGACATCACCTATCTCTCAACCTCAATTGAAAGTCGCGTCCATGGAAGATCACCCGCAACCGCCCGAAGTACACACAACAACAAATTCTACTTCGTCGTCCGTCTCTCCAAATTTGCAAAGATGCGACGATGATATTTTACGCGAAGAAACAGTTCCTGTTCAGGCTAACAATCAACATTTGGGAAAGAGGAGAGAGGCCCCGATAAAACCAAAGGCAAACAATCCTCATCCTGGACTAAAAATCGCAGAACTACCGGCACCGACACACCTACAGAAAAATCGAACATCGCAGAGGAACGAGCCAATCATATCAGAATCGATCTTCGGAGTTGACGTCTCTGTAACAGAAATCGCGCCAAGACAAGAATTTAGCACCAGTTATAATGGGATAGTTGATTTGTCGTTAGAAGTCTATCAAAACTTCAGACCAGACGAGAAGCAATTAGATAGAATCCTAATGAAAGAGGAGATCGCATATTATGCAACCTCGCTATTATTGATGAAGCTAATTGACGTCAAGGCCAAAGAAGGACAAGTAGCACTGACCAGCGAGGAGAAAGCAACTAGAAAAGCTGTAACCGACGAACAATTAAATTTTCCTCAGCCCCTTTTTACCATGCTCAACGAGGTTGGACACTACACCGATAAGGTAGGTAAACAAACGCGACATCGAATTCCAGATTTACCAACCACAGTTGTACAAGGATTTGGTGGATACCGCGCAAACGCTATAACGAGCGATACACATATCTTTGAAGAGGTTCCCTTCTTGGGAAATCGCAGGAGATATGGTAATGGCACTGGTTCTGGATCTGCCGCCGCTAACTAAAACTAACTTCAGAGTTGGACTACCACAAGGTACGCGTGTAATCCAAAATCTAGTCGGAAACACAACACCAATCGGACCAAGAAGACCAGAAATCGTCCAAAGATTGGCAGGTCTAGAAATTACCGCAAACGCATTCCAAGAGTATATTCGAGGCACTCGCTTCAATTTCAAATATGTTAAAGCATTGTCTGACATTATTGTTCACAACATTTAAAATGGCGAAAGTGTGCTTCAAAAACTTAACTCTAAATGGAGGCGAAACACAAGTGGAAATAAGCAGACCAACGGAAACAGAGGATCCTGAACGCTGGAATGAGAGAAACGTTCAAACTCTATCCGCTGCAACTAGTTCGATAGCTATAATGGGAGCAGCATACTGTGTAACAATGACAGACGTGATTAGAAGAATGATTAAAACACAACTATAATTATTCAAAACACATTACCAAAGGTTGGTCAAAAGACAGACGCCCATTTCATTGTCTGCGGACCTAAGATAAAACACAAAACACAACATTTGCCTTTCAAAAAGGATTTGAGACAGGAAAATCAGGACATGAAATAAAACTTTTCAGTTCAATCTATTAGAAGAACGCACCGGGACGCTATTACTTTAGCACAGGAACAAGCGTTTCATGTAAACGTTCATTCGTGCGGGCCAATGACAGATATTTGCCGTTCTGCAACGTTTTGTTTTTTCAATTAGAACCGAAAAATCGGTATAATATCAGATTACTTTGTTGCAAAGGGGGCGAAGTTCTTCTAGGGCCATTGGGGGAATGTCCAAAAGAATTAAGTCAATTATTGACTGACAATACACCTCTTGCTGGCAGTTTTTAAATAACATCCGTACATTGAATAGTAATTTTGCCATGGCCTCCTATTCCTGGGGATGTTAATGTTGGGCAAGGGGCTTTTTGTTTTACAAGCAAGGGGCAAATTTATCACCACGCTCAGGACATCCCTCTAAATGTGCAGCATCGTGACGAGCCAATTAGAAATAATCAATACTATTTTCTTGATGTCGCGGAAGCGCTCGAACGTCGCAACGATTTTTTTGACGAGACGGGAATAGATCCACATCTTTTCCGGATCCTCGAGGAGATGTTGAGGCGCACGAACGTACTCGTCCAGAGTTATATTTGCATTCCGGAAATGATTCGAAAACGCATCGAACGTGACGGGCCAGACTCGGTAGCGAACATCATGGTGGGATTCAAAGGCAACACAATAGAGACCGACGGAATTTTAATTTACCTGAGAGCAGCTGCGAAATAGCAGCGGTATTTGATAACGATATACCGTTCGATGTTGATCCGCGAGTGTACCCACGACGTCCGCTTATAAAAAATAAAAATTTTATAAAAATAAAATTAGTAATTTGTCTCGTGGGTGTACCCGTTACTCTTCCCTCGAGGAGGGGGGGTTATGACATGCGTCTCAGATATGCGAGCAGACGAGACAAAAAAGTCTCGCTCCGGGATTTCTACCAGCACAGGTTGATGATACGTGACGAGACTTTTTCCATATTACACAATTCCGCGAAACTATTTCAACAGTACGTGGTTGACACGTACGTGAAAATAGAATCACAAGAGTTGTGGTGGTATCAGGCAAATCAACGTCAAGTTCGGACCACGTATTACAACCGCTTAATCGACTACGTGCGCAGGCGCGTAGCCGAAGCGGGACCTAATGCGAGGATCGGCCGTATCACCATCCTGCCGTCCGGGTTTAATGCTAGTTGTCGCGGACAGAACAAACTATACCCGAACGCTATAGCAGTCGTTGCCAGACACGGTAAACCCGAATTATTTATAACGATGACCTGCAACCCCCATTGGCCAAAAATTACTCGAAATTTAAGTTTTAATCAGCGCGTGGAAAATCGTTCAGAATTGGTGTGCCGAGTCTTCCATACAAAGCTCGAACAATTCATGGAGGATTTAGTCAAACAACAATTCTTGGGAATCGTCCGCACTTATAATTATTCGATCGAATTCCAAAAAAGGGGACTGCCACACGCTCACATTTTAATCGGGTTCGAACCTACGGATCGGATCGACGACGCGGAGAAGATGGACCGGATTCCCGACCGCGAAGTCGAGCCGGATTTGTACGGTGTTATGCGTGATTATTATGTGCACCGTGTCTGTGGTCAAGACAATCCGGCCGACCCGTGTACCAATTTGGGGGGTCACGTGTGTGCGAAAGGCTATCCAAAGGCCTTTCGACGCGACACCGGTCTAAATTTCCACCGTTTCGACGGAAGGCCGGAATATGCCCGTCCCGACGACGGTCTGTTTGCAGGCGCAGGCAATCGTTATGAAAATCGGCGTATCGATCGTGCCTTACAAATATTGTCATAAAGGACCAGATTGCATCACCATCCAAATGCGCGGGCAACATAATGAAGTCGATTGGGACGAGATTCGTAACTATACCGACTGTCGATATATCAGCTCGATGGAAGCGTGCTGGCGTATTTTCCAGTATAAATTACACGATCGTTCCCACGCCGTAGTGACGCTGCCCGTTCACTTAGAAAATGAACGACCCGTCACTTTCGATGAAGGTGACGACGAAGAAGAATTACTGACCCGTGTCGCGGACGCAACAAACTACGTGTCTAAATTGGTGGCGTATTTCCGTCTGAATGCGGTCGAATCCGAAGCACGGCAGCTGCGATACGTGGAGATACCCGAAAACTACGTTTGGTTTAGAGGAGAGGGGGAATAATAGCGTGCGCGTCAACATTGGATGACGAAAGGTTTCACCTACGTATTTTGTTACAACATTTACGGGGCGCCACCTCCTTCGAATCGATCCGAACGCTAGCCGACGGGTATATCGGTCAAACGTACCATGAAGCCTGCGAGAAGCATCGGTTACTCGCCAATTTTGACATTTACCGCAACGCGATGCGCGAGGTTTGCGATCGCGATTTGCCGCCGCGCGTAAGAAATTTTTTCGCACTAATTGTTTTAGATTCATTCGAGCGCCATCGGCACGAAATACCGGCCTTATGGGAAGAGTTCAAAAATCCTTACATAATCGCTGATCTCATAAGACGCGGTATTCCGCGGCCGATAGCGCTTCGCCGCGCTCTCATTCATATTGATCAAATCGTAGCGGCAAATCGCGAGGGAATAAACCTCAACGAGATCGGTCTGGACGACCCGGAAGCTGCTAGGGTCAATGAAGCGAACGCGTTTGCGGAAGTGCGACAATGCGCGCCGGCGTCAGACGAGCGCGAGAATGTGCTCTTGAGATTCGGGGACAGAGTGTGCGAGTTGAACGCGGATCAACGTACTGTTTACAACGCCGTTATTTACACTTTGTTAAAAAATAGCGGAGCGAATTCTGTCTGCCGGCGGTGCCCGTCTGATGGCAGTTGCGTGGACGGGCATAGCTGCGTCTTTACTTATAGAGGGGAGGACCTGCCCCCACGCTTTCCGTCTCCCTCTGGACCTGGACGAAGAGTCCACAGACGGATGGCCGGCCGAGCACGAAAGGTCACAAAACATTCGTCGAACCGACGTCATTCTTTGGGACGAGGTGTCGATGACCTCAAAGCATGCGTTGAACGCGGTTTGTGACGTGTGCGAGAACAATGTGGTTCCTTTCGGGGGAAAAGTAGTCCGTTTCGAAGGGTGACTTTCGTCAAACGTCGCCGATCGTGATGCGCGGTTCGCGCATGGACATCCTTGCAAACTGTGTCAAATCGAGTCAGATTTGGCGAAGGATGAAGGTGTTTTGTCTTCAGACAAACTTGCGCGTGCATCGCGCGGCACAGTTGGCGATCGAGGCGGCGGCTCATCATCCCGAAATGGTCGACTTGGAAGTCGCGGGGAACCGCATTCAAGAGTACGGCAATTGGCTTTTGCGTATGGGGGACGGGTTAATCGAGAGGGCAATTTTGTGCGACACGTTCGTAACGGCCGATCTCATCAAAATCGATAGTCATTTCGTAATGCCAACCATACAGGAATTGATCGAATGGGTCTACGACAGAGTGAATGAAAACGACGTCGGGGATCGCGGTAGATGACATTAATTTGCTAATTTTAAATCGAAAAATCATTGGTGGGCCAAGGTACACTACCACTCGGTCGACGAGTATGCCGACAATGCGGCGACCGAGGATGATGAATTTCACGTCTCTTTGGACGTCGTTCATCGGATCTCGGCGTCCAACATTCCGCCACATGAGCTCGTGCTCAAGACGGGAGCGGTTGTCGTCCTTCTTAAAAACCTAGACGTCAGGCATGGACAGTGTAAAGGCACGAAAATGATGATTGTGCATCTCGGCGACGACGTTTTGGAAGTCAAGTTTCTATCGGGTCCCCGCAAAGGGGAAACCATCAACTTGTCTAAAATTGAAATCACATCGAGCGTTCCGCAAGTTCCTCGCCCGATCAAGAGAGTGCAATTTCCCATGCGGCTGGCATTCGCCATGACGATCAACAAAAGTCAAGGACAGACCTAATTTGCCAAGCCCTTGTTTCGCGCACGGACAGCTTTATGTGGCCTTCTCTAGGGTGGGGTCGTCTGAAGATGTGTGTGTCGTGATCGAAAACACGGCAAATCAAGCCGCTTTCAGACGCAGAGACGGAGTTAAATTGACGCGTAACGTCGTTCACTCCAACATTTTTAACAACCCCGAACCACTTCGACAACGGTTATCCTGGAATCCTACTCGTGCGATTATTGGGGGTCAGGGTGAAGTCGTGCTTCCGGCACGCACGTCACCCTCTCCACCAACGTCTAACGAACCGACCAGTACTTCGTTCGAACAAGACGACGATTTTTTCGATTCACTAGATTTGACCGATATTATTATGGACGTACTGAGACACAGACCCACACCCAGGATTCTTCTGATCCCCAGGCAGTACGATAATGTCGTGGTCAATCCATATAACGATCGACAATTGTTTGAACGAGTCTCGCGCGATAACATCGGGGACAACCACGACATTATCCTCAGTTGACGTGCCATCACCGATTGTGACTTAATTTTCATCCCGATTTAGACAATTTTTTAACCAAAATCACGACATTTCCATTTCAAAAGTGAACTTAAAACTCTTTTCTTCAAATTTAATATATTTTTTTTCAAAGTACACATTTTCACGTTCGTTAATGCTGCCGTTATAACAACAACGACATTTACTTATCATCAATATTGTATATCTTCAACAAATAGTTTTTTTTATTATTACAACCTTCTTATTGTTATTTCACTCTATGAATTTCACTTTTTTATTCAATATTTAATTACCTTTTTCACAGTTTTCTTTTAAATTAGTCGTTGTTGATTATATTTGTTTACAATAACATGTTCATATTTCTCTCGTAAAGCAATTTATATAAATTATTTTTTTTTAAATTTTGCATTATATAACTTCATTAAATTTTCTCAATTCAAGAAATATTCTATTATATAAATTTTTAAATCAATTGCCCCTTAGTTTGTAAGTTCATTGCTGAATTTCTTTTTTATTGCAACATATTGTTTAATGTAAAACAATTCAGCAATGGACATTTTTTTTATTTATTTTTTTTCATATCACTCTCTATAAAGCGCATTATTAACTTAATTTTAAATTTATAATCTCCGATATAACGATTTCAATTCCACTCGGTTTCTCTATATTTTCATTTCAAGTTTTGGTAAAAAATAAAAAAAATGTCCATTGCTTACGTTTTTTTTCGTTGGAAGAACAATTGAAAAGAAACGCGCTAGGCAATGCTGATGAGTCTCAACAAAGACGAAACATTTTTTTTATTATTCCAATGGGCATCTACATTGTCAGGTGAGTGTTACATTTCATAATGTTATTTATTTAATAATTTAAAAACAAATATTATATGTTACAGCGCGTGCGTGCGTCAAATCAAATACAAATTCAAAGTTACAAATTCCACCGATAGTCTAAATTTAGTTAACACAATGAACTGTTCCAAAAAAAACTGTTCCAAAAAAAACTATTACCTAAATGAAAACTAGATTTTAATTGAAAATATTCTCTATTACATCAATTATTTTTCTTCTTAAAACGTTACAGTTGAAGAAAAGGGTAAGAATAACGACAATAATTTAGATCATTCTGAACAACTTTCAAACACATTTACCAATATATGTCTAAATGTCGTCACCAAATTAGTTAAAATTACAACGCTTTTTTAAAATTTCGTGCCACACTATATAATTGTACAATTTATGAAATTAGCGATAATAATATTTCAATTGTAATATTAACAATATTAAAAATTTAAGATTTCTAACCTCATCGTTAGTTGTGAGGTTATCCGATACGATGTCTACGATAAGAACAAATGCCGATAAATTACAAGATACTCGTCGATCGTGCGAAGAAGGTGCTTCGAAAATTCGTTTCAAGCAGAAAGAACTACATTTTACATATAACAGGTATTTGATATAATATATATTTCAATTCGATACGATATTAATAACGTTTAATTCACTCTCATTTCATTTTTGAAGATTACGGGATCCAAAAATTTATATAAAAACAAAATTACGTACAACAATGAGATGTTTTGTCATGAAGATTGGTTGGATTTCAACTTCAATAGTTATTGTTAAATGCAGATGAAAGTGCCTCGTAAAACTTCATACCATTGCGGAAATTATCATCAATTAATTATTAACAAAACAACTGCCAACAACTTTTAAAAAGATTATCCTAAAGAACTTTGCACAATTGTTATTACAAATTCAACTACAAAAATATCACTTAATAAAAATATCACTCAAATAAATAAATACTAACATATCCAGTAAATTTCTACCATGTTTATATAATAAATTATAGATGACATGAGCATCTAAATATAACAAGTAAGTTTTTAATAAACTCATATCGTAAGTTATATGTAGTATTTTAATATTAGAAAGTTTAATAGTTGCTATAATATTTTTATAAAATTAACTAGGTAATAGGTTATTTTTACAAAACAAATTATATTTTTCCTTCTATTCAAATTACACAATCTAATTTTCCAATATCTTTTATAAAATGTAAAATTTAACTTAAAAAAAATAATAATAAAAAACTAATTTTCATTAACAATACAATTATGAAAAATGCCATTCACTTTCCTTTTCCTTAAAAAAACAAAATAAAACTAATTTCAGTTTTCTTATATTTACATCATAGTTTTTAAAATGAAATATTAGTACTTCACTGTTTAAATTATTTATGTATTTTCTTAAGCAACGTTTCTTTTTAAATTTACAATTTTGTATTTATTCTTTATTTATGTAGATGGACAACAAATCACCATGGACAACATAATGAAAAGAAAAAAAAAGTTTCAGTGAATAAATGTTATCAGAACTGTCGAATTAAGCAAGAAATTCATTATTTGGATAAACAAATTTTAGTTTAACAAGTAAGTCTTTAATATTTATGTTATAAAATATATCAAATTAAAATCAATAATTATTTTACATAGTATCGTATATTTTCAAGCTGAAAAACAAATATATACAAAACGTAAATCTACGCCATCTATCAAGCAATTTCGGAATTACAGATTCCTTTTTACTTCTTTAAGAAAATAATGTAAAACAATATCAAAACATCATGATGAAATCAACAAAAATTGTAATGTCTTTCCATCGTATATAATTATTTTATTTGTCAAATCAACAATAATAATACATAATCCTAATTGTAATATTAATAATGACAATTTTAAATTTATGACGTCATCAACAGTTGTGGGATTATTTGATGCGGTTTTACAATGCCCATCCGAGTTTCAAACTATGGTAAACGCGAACAAAGTTAAACATAGAAAATGTCAAAATGAGTACATGTCGACGAATTTTTAAATTTGGGCATGTCGTCGTCAATCGCGTGAAAAATGCATCACTGGGGTTTATTTCCAAGAGAAACAAATACGTTTTACAAATTAAAGGTATTTAATATAACATTTTTAATTTTTATACGATATTATTTTCCATAACCTCTAATTCATATTCGTTTTGTTTCCGATGGTTACAGGATTCAAAAAATTGCAGAAAGAGAATTGATACAAGAACTAGATGTTTCACTACCCCTAATAACGAAATAACCAAATATTCGTTTTATTTATTTCGGAAACGCAAAAAAAAGCTGACGTCCCAGGTATGGGTTTAGACCATTGAAGAGCCACTTGAGAGAGCTTCAAAATGACGTACTACTCAATCACCTTGAAGCGGTCGAGAATGTGTAAAACTACCCCCAATAATAAAATAACCAAATGTTTATTTTATTTATTTCGGAATCGCAAAAAAAGCTGATGTCCCAGGTACATAATTAGGCCATTGAAAAACCGCTTAGAAGAGGGTAGTTTAACAGCAAAATTTATCATCAATGAGTTATCAATAAAACGACTTCTGATAACTTCGAGAGAAATTACCATAAGAAATTTAAATAAACCATCATTGCCAATTTGGAAAGAAAATTATCCAAGTAAAATATTATTTGGATAAATGGATATAAACACAGGTAAAGTTTTATCATGTTCAAATTATAAGTCGTAATTGATATTTGATATAAAATTAATTTTTCATATAATTTTTCAAAATTATTTATACAATTCAAGTTAGTTTTATTGTTTTTGTCAACATTTACATGAATCACATATATGTGTAAGTATTTCAAATAGACGATTTTCAATTTGTTTCCCAAAATTGCATGATAAATTTAAAATATTTTATTTACTCTTTTGACGGTAAAATTTTTTTCATGTTGTAATCCTGCATCATTAACAATTTCTCTATAAAGAATGCCTTCAATCAGTTATTGAACATGGACCGACTGATAATTTCATTCAAAAAATTACCATCACCATTTTACAAAGACTTATATCATCTAAAAAAAAGAAATAATTAAAAAAAATATATTTAAATGAATGAATGAAAACATGATGATGATAATTAATCTTAATTTTCTTTTAATATTTATATTATTACTCTTAATATGAAATATTAGTGTTTTAATGTGTTTCATTTATTTATATATTGCTTAAAATTATTCAAGTTTTTTAAATTTTAATTTCCTAATATTTCTTTTTGAATGTAAAATTTTCCATTTATTTCTCTCAATGGAAATTTAAAAATTATTATATATTTTTAAGTGGACAATAAATTACTACCGACAACTTAGTTATAAAGAAAATCATTCATCAATTATAAAAAAAAAAGAAAACAATTTTATTAAATAAATGATCATTGAAACTTTGTAAGTATTCGTCGGATCATCCAAGAAATACTTCATTTAGGTACAAATTTCAATTGAACAAGTGTTTTTTATATTCATTTTATGTAACATATTATATGTAATATCTACTACTACAAAATCAATAATTACTTTATATAATTTTTAATATTTTCCAGTTTAACACAAGAAATGTAAAATATAAATCCACACAATCTATCAAACAAATTCGGCATTATTTACAGATTCCTTTTTATTTCTTTTAAGCAAATAAAGTGACGACAAGAAATGAAATAAAAGAAAACTATAAAGAATAAAATATCGTTTATTAAAAAAAAAAATTCAAATGAATATCATATACGATATTAAAAATATTCATTACTACATAAATTACTTCCCTTCCTGAAGTATTATAATTAAGAAAAAAGTAAAAAAAACAATAATAATGCGGATAATTATAGATTATTTTTAAATATATTTTTCGAAATATTTTTGCATTTTTGATGTTTCAATATCTTAACGAAATTACCAAAAAACTACAATAATTTTCTAATATTTCATCGCATGTAATTGTCTAATAATATTATATATAATATCAAATAATTGCCTAATTCGTGAAATTAACAATATGAAATATATTCTAACTTGAAATTTGTAACGTCATCGACAGTTGCGACGTTATCCAATACGGTTCTGCAGTGCCCTTCCGAATTTGAATCTATGGTAGACACAACCACAGTGTTGCCAACCCTACAGTTTTAACTGTAGATCTACAGTTTTTAGGACATTCTCTCAGTTTTTAGTTTAAGCCTCGAAATCTACAGTTTTCTACAGTTTTTATGCAAGATGCTAGCGTCATCTATTTTATTTGTCTGTACACTAAGTCAGCTTCAGGTAAACCTGCGCACCGAAAGTAATGGTCAGATGATATTTTAATAGATGGCGTTAGTGGTAGGTCGTTCCGGCAATATTTTACCGACATTCTCTATGGTTTGCTTTTTTTATTTTTACTGGGGAATCCCCGTAACTGCTTTGTCGATATAAAACAATAATTTATACGTCATTATCTAGTTCATTCCTTATCTGATTAGATTCTTTTTTATTATGTGACGTTGTGAGTTGAGCAAATATTAACGAATATGCAAAGTTGCAGTGATGAGTCAGATGTTGATAAATCCCCACGAAGAAAGAAGAAAGTTATGAGATATGAGCAAAAATTTGTTGACTCTTGGCTCAATGACGAAAATTTTAGTGGATGGCTCGTAAAAAGTAAGAAAGGTAACACTTATTTTTACTGCTCTGCATGTGACTGTGATCGCAAATGCGGAATTCAAGAATTGATTCGACATAAAAATTCATCAAAGCACCTAGCAAACTGTAAAAAAATACAAAAGCAACCTAAGCTCACATCTTTGTTCCCATCAACATCAAAATCACAAGATCCACAGCAAATGGCAAAAGCCGGCGAAATTAAACAAGCATGTTTTATTGCGGAACATAACCTTGCATTTAATGTTGCCTCACATCTGACTAATTTAATAAAATCGGTGTGTCCAGATTCAAAAACTGCTGAATATATGTCTATGAGCCGAACAAAAGCAAGAGCCATTGTAGTAAATGTGACAGGAAAAACCGCTGAAGAAAGAAATTCCATACAAGAGGAATATGTTCATGTTCGGTGGGAATAACTCCATGATGACTAATTTAAAGAATGACATACCTAATCTTTTCACCATGAAATGTATATGTCATTCATTTGCGCTTTGTGCATCTCGCGCTTGTGAAAAATTACCGAGAGGTCTAGAAGATTTTTGCCGTGAAGTTTTCAATCACATCCAAAATTCACCTAAACGCATCGGTGATTTTAAAACTTTTCAGGCGTTTACAAATATAAAACCACATGAAATATTGCACCCCGCACAAACCAGATGGCTATCGTTGAACGATGTTGTAAATAGATTGCTGGAACAACTGCCAGCTATAAAATTATATTTCCAATCAGCAGTGTTTACAGATCGTCTACTTTCTGCCCAAAGTATTTTAACAAAAGCCATGGAACCTACAACCGAATTATACTTGGAATTCTTGCGATTTGTTTTACCAATATTCACAGATTTGAATAAAGAAATGCAAACAGAAAAACCAAAGTTGTACTCATTATATAATCAGGTCTACACAGCATATGTGACAATTCTAGAATGCTTTATACAACCGGTTTATTTAGAACTGACAGAAGAAGAGATAAACAAAACCAAAGATATATTAGATGCCAAAGAAAAGAAAATATTAAGTGTTAATGTAAATGACGAGCGGATTCATTTACCGTTAATGGAAACATATGTTGGAGGAATGGTACCAAATTTAATTAGATTGAAAAAAGACACTCAAGAATCGGACGACGATAAATTGTCAACTTTTTACGGGAAATATAAAGAATTTTACATTGAGGCATTAGTCCAAATCAAACAAAGGTTTCCTTTCGATGATAAAGAACGTCTGGCACTGAAGTGTTTACAGATGTTGAACCCACAAGCGACTTTAGGTCATGATTTGACCCAAAAACGTATAACTTCAATTTCTGAGATGCTGTATTATTTCCCAGGTATTTGTATTTGTATTTGAAAATATAACAGAATTACATAGAGAATGGAGAAATCTGCGTAATACCAATTTAAATTTTGATAAGACTGATACGCCTAATGTAGAGGAATTTTGGTGGAATGTTTCCAAATTAAAAAAAGGCGACGGTTCTGCAAAGTTTCCACTATTTATCGACTTTAACCAGAAAGCTTCCATGTTTGCCGCACAGTACCGCTACGGTAGAACGTTTGTTTTCGAGCATTAATGTTATGAAAACCAAACTAAGAAATAAACTTTCTACGACCACAATAAAAGGTACCTTGCACACAAAGTCAGAAATTAATAATTGTTTGGAGTTCAATGTGACAAATGACCATTTTAAAAAATTCAATAAAAATATGTACGTATTCAATAAAAATAAAAATGAAACGCAAAATCAGGAAGACTTAGAAATTGAAAATAACATAGTAGCTAGTGATACTTGAAATGTTACATTTAATTTGATTAACATTTTGATAATTATACGAGTTTTCTTATTTTTAATACCCTCCATATAATGTATTCCATTCATACAATTATACAAAATATAATATAACATAAAACTGTAGATTTACTGTTTTTTAATTTTATATTTACAGTTTTCTACAGTTTTTTTCAAGCAAATCTACAGTTTTACTCTATGCTGGGGTTGGCAACACTGCACAACCATATTCGAACACGAAGAAGAGACGTAGAAGACGCCGAGATGAGAACATGGCTGCAAATTTCAAAATTTTGGAATATCGTCGTTCATCGCGCAAACAATACATCGCGGGGATTTATTTTGAGAAGAAACGGAGATATTTCACACATAACAGGTATTTAATATAGAATTTTAAATTGTTACGCGACTTAATTTTTTTTAAACTTTAACTCTTTTTCATATTGTTTTAGGTGATTAGGATACCCAAGAAATTACGCAAAAGCAAAACAATACAGATAATAAAAAAGTGAGCATACTGAAAAATATTTGATATGATTCAACAACAAGGTGTTTAGTCATAAAGAATGATTCCAATTCGGATTAGATAGTTTTCATCAAGTACGAGTGAATATACCTCGTACAACATAAAAATTACCCCGAGTTAGTTATCAAAGAAACAATTGTAGACAACTTCTAAAGAAATTGTCATAAGGAACTTGCCAAAATTGCCATCACCGATTTGAGATGAATATGCAAATGAACAACAAACCATCATTGACCATTGATGATCACTTTTATGAAGAATGTCTTTCACCATCCATCCAAAAAAAAGCCGTTGATAATTTCATCAAAAAGATACCGTTGTGGCCCTACAAGGACCGATGTCATCTAGACGAGAATTTTCCAAGAAATAGGATACTCAAATAAAAAGATTCAAACGTACCAAGTAAGTTTTAAATACTCATATCGTTTATTATATGTAGTGTTTCATATTAAAAAATTAATAGTTTATGTAATGCTTTTATGAAATTGATTAAGTTACTTAATTATTTCTATGAAACTAACTTTTAATATATATTGAATGATACTTAAATCGTTTATACGTTTTGTTAAACTATTTAAAATAAATATGTTTTAATTTCTTAATATCTTTTATAAATTTTAAAATTTTACATTTATTTCTTTCAAAAATAAACATTTTAACTTTATTATGTTTGTGCAGGTAGACAACAAATCATCATCGACAACTGAATTATAAAGAATAGCGCCAATCAGTTATCGGAAACGAAATCCTTGACGATTTCACTCAAAGGATGATCATTGAAACTTTACCAAGAATCATCATCATTTAATCAGAAGAAAATCATTTGCGGAGTATATCACTTCAATAAATAGATTTAAATATAAAAAGTAACTTTTTTAAACACTTTAAAAACAATATATTTATGAACATATTTAAAAAAAATTAGTAATTCTCTAATTGAAATATATAAACTATATAAAAAATATTATTTGAAAATTTTGTCATTCATATAAATAATTATCGACTTATAAAATATATTTTTTATATAGTTATATGTTTAATTATAATATCAATATTGTATTAATTTTTTTTCAAAATCACGTAAATAAATTTAGTTATTCTTTATTTTCCTTTTCAAGTTAAATAATACTTTCTGATACGATATACTAATATTTAATTTATTTATATATACTGTTTCTTTGTTTAATCAAATATTAACGCAGTCATTAACTTATTTTCATAATATTTTCGTTTTATATGTTCACAAATATTTTAAAATAAAATTTCATTTAAATTTCAATCTGTTTTTTAAAAGTCAAAATTCAATTTTTCTATTTATTTTTATTTAGATAAAGGAAACCCTCACTATGCAACGAGTCATCTTGAAGACTACAATCAAACATCTGACGGAAACCAATTATTGCCTGTTGGACATCAAGAATATTCATCAACCATTGAAATAAAGATAACAACTGTACGACACGAATCAAGGAAACAATTCAAACAACCTACAAGTATGGAAGGAGACATAACAAGGACAGGAAAATATTCATTGGAAATAAGGTGCGATATAAAAATAGAAAATTAATGTAAATTGTAATATGCGGTTAAACGATTTGAAATGTATATTTATATATCGCATAATCAAATGTGATTGTACAATTACGATTCATTTACAAGTAATTTTATTTTAATTATTATGTTACAATTTCTCTCCTCTTACAAACATATTATGAAATGAAATATTAATAATTACAATTTATTATTTCAATCTTTTTAGTAATTATTTGTGTTTAACTTTTTTAATATTTAATATTAAATTTTATTTATAAATCTTTTAAAATATTTTCTTATCTGTATAGTGATCAATAATCAGTTACTTAATATTACTAAAAATCAATTTAAACGTTACTAATCTTTCGACTTTTGATATACTACAAAGTTTAAATTTTTTGAATATTTCAAAATTATTGTTATAAAATGTTTAAATAATAATATATAATAAATAAATTATTTAATAAATTATTAACAAATAATTAATAATTAAATAATAATGCATAATTGCATATGTTATTAATATCTTTCATATCATAATTTCTTCATTTCAAAATGTATTCATAACAATGAATATAACAATTTGTTTTTTTGAATTCAAATTAAAAAAGAACATAATCGAATGATAATAATAAGCATAAATATCGTAACGATTTCAATAATGAAGCGGGAATAAATTGACATCTTTTTAAAAAATTTGAAAAATTATTAAAATACTACAAGATACAAATTTATATTTGCATTTGAATTGATTCGGAAACGTATCGAACGTAACGCGTCAAATTCAATAGCGAATATCGCGGTGGATTTCAAAGATAACATTTTAATTTACTAGAAAACTATTACAAAATAACAACAGTATTTAATAATGAAATTCCATTTGATCTAATCCGTTTATCCGTAATTTTTTTCAAATATGCAATTTTACACTTTTTGTGTTTGTAAAAAATAATCGTGATATATGTTTTAATTACATGAACAGATTATTATTATTATTATTATTATTATTATTATTATTATTATGTATTTTATTATATGATGGCCGAATCGTGATGAAAAATCCTCCCCTCTCTAAATATACCCCATCGTGACGAACCAATCACAAATAATCAATATTTTTTTGTTAATATCGCGGATATGGGAATAGACCCACATCTTTTCCGGATTCTCGAGGAAATATTGAGGCGCACGAACTACTCGTCCAAAGTTATTTTCCATCCGTAATTTAAATTTAATTATCTGACCGTTAACGTCTTTTCAAATTTTGCAATGTATCAATGCCCGTCGTGTAATTATACCGATTCGAAACATGTTATTGGATGAATCGGCAACGAATAGACATTTTGGACAAACGTTGTGCGGATTGCGAGTGGTTTTACATCGTTTACCACCAACATCAAATCGCGTTTCGAGAACCCCGAGAGAGGGATACATTATTTTACGTGGTTTTCCTGTCATCTTGCCACCTTTGTTCCCAATTGAGGAACGAGAGATACCACCTATCTCTCAACCTCGATTGGAAGTCGCGTCGATGGAAGACCAGCCGCAACCGCCCCAAGTACAGACAACAACAACAAATTCTACTTCGTCGTCTGTCTCTCCAAATTTGCAACGATGCGACAACCGTTTCATGTAGAAATTCATTCGTGCGGACCAATGACAGATATTTGCCGTTTTTGCAGCGTTTTGTTTTTTCAACTAGAACCGAAAAAAAGGGTATAATTTCAGATTACTTTGTTGCAAAGGGGGCGAAGTTCTTCTAGGGCCATTGAGGGAATGTCCAAAAGAATTAAGTCAATTATTGACTGACAATACACCTCTTGCTGGCAGTTTTTAAATAGCATCCGTACATTGAATAGTAATTTTGCCATGGCCTCCTATTCCTGGGGATGTTAATGTTGGGCAAGGGGCTTTTTGTTTTACAAGCAAGGGGCAAATTTATCACCACGCTCAGGACATCCCTCTAAATGTGCAGCATCGTGACGAGCCAATTAGAAATAATCAATACTATTTTCTTGATGTCGCGGAAGCGCTCGAACGTCGCAACGATTTTTTTGACGAGACGGGAATAGATCCACATCTTTTCCGGATCCTCGAGGAGATGTTGAGGCGCACGAACGTACTCGTCCAGAGTTATATTTGCATTCCGGAAATGATTCGAAAACGCATCGAACGTGACGGGCCAGACTCGGTAGCGAACATCATGGTGGGATTCAAAGGCAACACAATAGAGACCGACGGAATTTTAATTTACCTGAGAGCCGCTGCGAAATAGCAGCCGTATTTGATAACGATATACCGTTCGATGTTGATCCGCTTCTACCGCCATTGGGGGAATGTCCGGAAGAATAAAGTCAATTATTAACTGAGAATACACCTCTTGCTCGACAGTTTTTGAATAACATCCGTAAATTGAATAGTAATTTTGCCATGGCCTCCATGCACGCTACTATTCCTGCGGATGTTAATGTTGGACAAGGGGCTGTTTGTTTCACAATCACGGGGCAAATTTACCACCACGCTCAAGACATCCCTCTAAATGTGCCGCATCGTGACGAACCAATCAGAAACAATCAGCAACGATTTTTTTGACGAGACGGGAATAGATCCGCATCTTTTCCGGATCCTCGAGGAAATATTGAGGCGCACGAACGTGCTCGTCCATAGTTACATTTGCACTCAAGAAATGATTCGGGAACGCATCGAACGTGACGGGCCAGACTCGGTAGCCAACGTCGTGGTGGGATTCAAAGACAACATTAATGAAGATCGAGGAAATTTTAATTTACCAAAAAAGTGCTACAAAATAGTAACAGTATTTAATAATGAAATACCATTCGGTGTTGATCTAAAAATATATCCACGATACCCGTTTATCGATCATCAATATAAAATCAGTAATTTTTGTCAAATATGCAATTTTAGAGTGTATATATTACTTTTTATTTCCAAAGAAAACAATCATGATATATATTTTAATTATATGAACAAATTGTTATTATTATTATTACTATTATTATTATTATTATTATTATTATTATGTATTTTAACTTATAATCTCTAAATTGCAATGAAAATAATGAAATCAATTGGGACAACATACGTAATTATATAAATTAAAATAAATATTTAAAAAAATAAATAAATATATTCATTTAAATAAATATGAACAATTCGTTATATTTGATGCAGGATTCCAGTCGGAGTTCAACGAGCGAACGGATGATATCCCGGAATATAGTGTCATCACATTTTTCCATCCGCGAATCAATACGTGAGAATATATATATGTATATATATATATATATATATATATATATATATATATATATATATATATATATATATATATATATATATATATATATATATTACAAATATTTTTAATTATGTGTATAAATTTATAATATATTTCTGCTTAAATGCATTCCATTCTACAACTCATATACAATTTAGTCAAATAACAGTTATTATTGTCCATTTTTATTATTATTTACTCCCACACTCTAAATGTTTTTCTAAAAAATTTTTAATAGATTTTTTAAAAATTAAATATTATAAATAAATAATATAATAAACAATAACTAGAACGATAATAATAACTAATTATAATAAATATTGTGATAGCAAAATACTTTTTTTTTACTATACTATACTGAATAAATTAGAAACAATATTTAATTTTGATTTGTGAAAATATATTAAAAATTAAATATAATAAACAATAAATATAATGAATAATAATTAATAAAATATTTTTATACTAATTATTATTAATAAATAATAATCATATTAAAAATAATAAATACACATTATAATAAAAAATTTCATAGATAATTAATATTTTCATTAAAATTCAAATTAATATTTAATATAATTTTATTGTTTCAAATTTTATAAATTTTGTATATTTTTTCAATTGAAACCAATCACTTTAATCATACCCGTTAATAGCGAATTGCGTATTATCTCTAGAAATCAATTGAGAGGCCGCCAATCTTTAAAATTTCAACTTCGATTAAAAATTATAATACGGCGTCTTAATTTTTTCAACATCCGCGATTTAAGTATTATTATTATTATTATTATTAATTATCCGACCTTTAACATCTTCTCAAATTTTGCAATATTTCAATGCCCGTCGTGTGGTTAGTTTTGTTAGTTAGTACTGTACACGTTACTCTTCCCTCACGGAAAGGACGGTTATGACATTGTGTATCAGATACGCGAGCAGACGAGATAAAAAGGTTTCGCTCCGGGATTTCTATCAGCACAGGTTGATGGTACGTGACGGGACTTTTTCCATATTACACAATTCCGCGAAACTATTTCAACAGTGCGTGGTTGACACGTACGTGAAAATAGAATCGCAAGAGTTGTGGTGGTATCGGACGAATCAACGTCAAGTTCGGACCACGTATTACAACCGCTTAATCGACTACGTGCGCAGGCGCGTAGCCGAAGCGGGGCCTAATGCGAGGATCGGCCGTATCACCATCCTGACGGCCGCGTTTAAGGGTAGTTGTCGCGGACAGAACAAACTATACTTTGACGCTATGGCAGTCGTTGTCAGACACGGTAAACCAGACTTATTTATAACGATGACCTGCAACCCCCATTGGCCACAAATTATTCAAAATTTAAATTTTTATCAACGCGTGGAAAATCGTCCAGAATTGGTATGCCGAGTCTTCCATACAAAGCTCCAACAATTCATGAACGATTTAGTAAAACAACAATTCTTAGAAACCGTCCCCACTTATCATTATTCGAACGAGTTTCAAAAAAGAGGACTGCCACACGCTCACATTTTAATCGGGTTCGAACCTACCTAAGATGGACCGGATTATATCTGTACGGATCTGTACGGTGTTGTGCGTGATTATTATGTGCACCGTGTCTGCGGTCAAGACAATCCGGCCGCCCCGTGTACCAACTTGGAGTCTCGCGTGTGCGCGAAAGGCTATCCAAAAGCCTTTCGACGCGATACCGTTCTAAATTTCCACCGTTTCAACGGAAGACCGGAATATGCCCGTCCCGATGACGGTCGTTTTGTCATTTTTGCAGGCAATCGTTATGATAATCGGCGTATCGTGCCTTACAACCGCTGGGCTGCGATGAAATATCGGACTCACATTAATTTTGAAGGGGTCGGATCTTTTGCCTCTATCCGATACCTGTACAAATATTGCCACAAAGGACCAGATTGTATCACCATCCAAATGCGCGGGCAGAATAATGAAGTCGATTGGGACGAGATTCGTAACTATACCGACTGTCGATATATCAGCTCGATGGAAGCGTGCTGGCGTATTTTCGCATATAAATTACACGATCGTCCCCACGCCGTAGTTACGTTGCCTGTTCACTTGGAGAATGAACAACCCGTCACTTTCGATGAAGATGAAGACGAAGATGAATTACTGACCCGTGTCGCGGACGCAACAAACTACGTGTCTAAATTGGTGGCGTATTTCCGTCTGAATGCGGTAGACCCCGAAGCACAGCGGCTGCGCTACGTCGAGATACCCGAAAACTACGTTTGGTTTAGAGGAGAGGGGGAATGGCGTGCGCGTCAACATTTTAATAAAATCGTGGGAGTTATACGGGAAGTATCCCCGTTGGATGACGAAAGGTTTCACCTGCCTATTTTGTTACAACATTTACGGGGCGCCACCTCCTTCGAATCGATCCGGACGCTAGCCGACGGGTATGTCTGTCAAACGTACCGTGATGCCTGCGAGAAGCGTCGGTTACTCGCCAATTTTGACATTTACCGCAACGCGATGCGCGAGGTTTGCGATCGCGATTTGCCGCCGCGCGTCAGAAATTTTTTCGCTCTAAGTATTTTAGTCTTATGGGAAGAGTTCAAAGATCCTTACATGATCGCTGATCTCATAAGACGCGGTATTCCGCGGCCGATCGCGCTTCGCCGCGCTCTCATTAATATTGATCAAATCGTGGCGGCAAATAGCGAGGGAATAAACCTCAACGAGATCGGTCTGGACGACCCGGAAGCTGCTGGCGTCAATGAAGCGAACGCGTTTGCGGAAGTGAGACAATGCGCGCCGGCGTCAGACGAGCACGAGAATGTGCTCTTGAGATTCAGGGACAGAGCGTGCGAGTTGAACGCGGATCAACGTACTGTTTACAACGCCGTTATTTACACTTTGTTAAAAAATAGAAACAGCGTAAATTCGGAGAGTGCGTTGCGATATTTCCACCTCGACAGGGCTATCGTTGCGGGACTGGAGGCGGACGAGACGTTCGTCAATAGAAATTTATTTTTTGTTCACGGGCCCGGCGGAGCTGGCAAAACTTTTCTCTATAACGTAATCGCGGAGCGAATTCTGTCTGCCGGCGGTGTCCGTCTGATGGCAGTTGCGTGGATGGGAATCGCTGCGTCTTTACTTATAGAGGGGAGGACCTGTCACCACGCTTTCCGTCTCCCTCTGGACCTGGACGAAGAGTCCACGGTCGGATGGCCGGCCGAGCACGAAAGGTCGCAAAACATTCGTCGAACCGACGTCATTCTTTGGGACGAGGTGTCGATGACCTCAAAGCATGCGTTGAACGCGGTCGACAGGTATGTTTGTGACGTGTGCGAGAACAATGTGGTTCCTTTCGGGGGAAAAGTAGTACTTAGTTCGCGCATGGACATCCTTGCAAACTGATCACGGATCAACAATTATACGACAGAATATCTCGTGGCGACCGTCCCGGAACATCGAGGACTACCACGACATTTCCATTTTAAAAAAAATATTCACACCCTTTTAAATTTTTTCCAAATTTAATATTTTCTTCAAAGTACACATTTATACTTCGTTAATGCGTTCGTAAATTTAGTCGTCGAAATGACTCGACTCCCATTCCAAAAAACTGTTACCTACATGAAAACTACATTTGTAAATTAAAAGATCCTCTTCACATCAATTGTGTTCGTTCTTGAAACGTTACAGTTACACAAAAGGGTAAGAATAACGATAATAACTCCATCGTATAAACTTATCTTTTTCTAAAGCTTCACGAGTATGAAATACATCCAAATCACGAGCCAAATCATATTCTGCATCACTAAACTGCACTTTAGCACCAAATAACTTTTCCATACTGACCTCGAAGTAACGGGTGGTTAAATTGTAAGGGCCGATATTGAATGTGAACCACACCTAAACTCCAAGTTTTTTTCCGAATTTAATTTGACATTTCTCTATTTCAGACTTACTCAATTTGAACCATGGAGAGATACACAATCCAACAACGTGTTAAAGTTATCCAGACTTATTATGAAAATGGGCGTTCAAATCAAAATGCATATCGTGCACTTCGTGATTTTTTTGGTCAATTTGATCGTCCAAATGTGCGTACAATCGCAAAAATATTGAAAAAATTCGAGCAAACCGGGTCTGTAGAAGATGTGGGAACACCAGTGCATGCTCGTACAGCTCGTACTGCAGAAAATATTGCTGCTGTTCGCGATAGTGTGGCTGAAGAGCCGTCCACCTCAACTCGTCGTCGTGCCCAACAATTGCACCTCTCACGCTCGTCGTTGATAAACATTATGCATAAAGACTTGCACTTACACGCTTACAAGGTGCAATTGGCTCAAGAACTAAAGCCTCTTGACCATTCCAAACGTCGTGAATGGGCAGAATGGTGGCAAGAAATGGCAACAGTGGATGATCAATTTTCGAAGAAAATCATCTTCAGTGATGAGGCACATTTTCACCTCAGTGGATTCGTCAATAAACAGAATTGCCGCATTTGGGCGAATGAGAATCCAAGAGTGATTGTCGAAAAACCAATGCACCCCCAAAGAGTGACTGTTTGGTGCGGTTTATGGGCTGGCGGCATCATCGGGCCGTATTTTTTCCAAAATGAGGCCGGTCAGGCAGTTACTGTGAATGGTGTTCGCTATCGTGAGATGATAACGAACTTTTTATGGCCCGAATTGGAAGATATGGATGTGAACGATATGTGGTTTCAGCAGGACGGTGCCACTTGCCACACAGCTAACGAAACAATGGCTCTTTTGCGCAACAAATTCAATGGTCGTGTTATCTCACATAATGGCGATGTCAATTGGCCGCTAAGATCATGTAATTTGACACGGTTGGACTTTTTTCTTTGTGGTTATTTGAAAGAAAAGGTGTACGTCTATAAGCCAGCAACAATTCAAGAGCTAAAGGATGAGATAATTCGGCACATTAACGGCATAGAACCTCCATTATGCCTCAGGGTCATCGAAAATTTGGACCATCGGATGGAGGTGTGCCGCCGTGGTCGCGGCGCACATTTGGCCGATATTTTATTCCATACATAATTGAGTAATACCAATATATCATAATAAAATAAAATTACAATAATTTCCTAAATAGTTTGTGTTTTATTCAAAATCAACATCGGCCCTTGAAATTTAACCACCCGTTAGGTTAGACCGTAAGTGACGCAAACGTCACCGGAAGGGAGGCGTACGTGCCGAAGACGCGGGCTGACAGGAAACAACAAACAGGAAATAGATACCAACATCCGCAGATAAGCTGCTATTATTAATACGTCCGGCACACACAAACAACAATTCAGTTAAACATGAACACGTCAGTTAATAACTTCGTTTATACAAAAAAAATAGTTTGCAGTCGGTGTAACTTTATACAAAAATATAAATATCAACATAATCCCTTCTGGATATAGCGAAATAAAGTGTACAAAGTGCTGCCAACCTACTGTACATCTGATCACATCGCAACATACAATAGATTCCGCCATGACCACCTGTAAAAAAAGAGTCTTCACATGCTTCATCAGCGGTGAAGACCGAAACGAACGCCTCGAGACAATGCAACAACACGTATCGTGGTACATAGGACAGCAAGAAACAGGACGCATGGGCATGGAACATATACAACTGACGTTTGGATTCAAAAATGCAAGAACGCTCGACGCAATACAAAAACTTTTCAACAACGCCACTATACAATACGCTAATGATCTGGAGACTTGCATCAAGTACTGCACAGATGAGAACAAACGCGAAGGAGAACTATACGTATTCGGTGAAATTCCAAAATTCGGAAAAAAAGTGGACAAGACAATCATAGACGAAGCCCTCCAATGCGACACGTACCAAGTCGCTATGGACTTGATTGAACAGCATGACAAGTTATTTTATTTACAAAACCAGAAAAAATTGTGCTTATATTTCACCCAATAGTATGACTGCCTCGATAAAGGCCTCTATCCCCCGGAAACACCAAAAAAAAAAGTAATCGTACTTGTAGGAAGTACTGGTTTAGGTAAAACGCAATACGCGCTGGCACACTTCCAACACCCCCTCCATGTAAAGGATAAAGAAGACTGGAGACGCTACAATAACAGCGTTGACGGCATCATCCTGGACGATCTAGACTTCCCCAATTGGAATCCCCTCAACTTACTCAAACTACTCGATATGGAGACGCCCATCACCCAGAACATCAAATACGGGGCAACCAGAATTCAAGCAGATACACCCCGGATAATTTGTGTAAACCACTTGGATCTGTTCTGGCCCAAAGGGATACACACGGAAACAATTAAAGCCTGCGAAAGACGAATGACAATTGTACACATAGAAGCACCACTCTTTAACTACCGCGCCACAACACCTGACAACACCTACCACCAACACCAGACAAACGAACAGCAAAAAAAACAATCAAAACCGTGCAACCTGTGCAACAAACCAACAACCGAAGAATTCTGTTGGAAATGCAAATACGACCTAACACTGGAGCTACAACAACTCGACATTGAAGAAAACGAAAACGGACCCACCACGAGCCCATCCACCAAAAACATGGAACACGAAGCCTCCGACTGAAACTATATAGCATGTGTGTGCCTTGTATTACGTCATTAATAAATATATTATATTACACCTACTGTGGTTCCTTTAGTTCCTATGGTAGAGCACACACACCATACCTAGTTTCAACATTTCATTATGTGTGTCTACCCCCACCCCACGTTCGTATTTCCCGCTAAATCTATTCTCTTTTTCAGTGGTTTATTTTGGTTTGTCTCATTTTCTATATATTTCATTGGTCAACCCCGTCGCGGGCGGTAGCCACCCCTTCAGGGGTGGCCCTACGAAAGACGCATGCGCCCACGCATTTTATTATTAATTACACAATTACGATCAATTAATTACCGATATATTTTCGAATAATAGAATTTAAAAGTCGTCAATAACTTAGTTAAAATTACAACACTTTTCTAAAATTTCATAATGCACCATATAGTTGTATAATTTATGAAATTAACAATAAAAATATTTCAATTATAATATTAATAATATTGAAAATTTTAGATTTTTAACCTCATCGATAGTTGTGAGGTTATCCGATGCGATTCTACAATGTTCACGATAAGAATAACACATGCCGACAAATTTCAAGATGCTCATCGATCGTGTGAAGAAAGTATCGTGAAAATTCGTTTCAGGAAGAAAGAACTGCATGAACTAGAGATGATTCTTTAGATTTCGATGTGAATGGTTATTGTCAAATGAAAATGGAGTTGCCTCGCAAAGCTTCATACCACTATGAAAATTTTCATCAATTAGTTATCAAAGAAACAACTACCAAACAACTTCTACAAATATTATCATAAGGAACTTTGCAGAATTGTTATCACGAATTTCACAAAAAAATATCACTTTAGAAAAATATTACTTGGATAAATAAATACAAACATATCATGTAAACTTTTACCATGTTCATACTATAAATCATAGATAGGCATTACAAAATCAACGTTTCACATAATTTTTTAAAAGTATTTATACAATTCAAGTAAATAACATTTTCTTAAAATCGACATAATTTATAACGCCTATGTTTAAATAATTTATATACTTATCTAACTATTTCAAATAGATAATTTCCAATTCATTTCTCGGAATATTTTGATTTTTTTTTATTTATTATAATAATAAAAAAATTGGAATATCTGTTCAGATAGAAAAATAAAATCTCAAAATTCCCCAAAGTTAATATACTTAAAACGAAAAACACTTTTATACTTCATTCCTTTCTACAAAATTTATAAACACTTGATTTTTCTAAATATATTAATTATTGTCCCACATAAAATTTTTCTAAAAAAAAAAAATAAACAAAATAAAAATTCTATATATAAACGCACACCTTTATAAAAGTTCAAAACGATATCAAATTCTCACCCCATCTCCAACCGGTCTCTAATTGAATTTTAATGACCCTTTCCATATAAAAGAAACTACCCTTCCAACTTTTATTTACCACCGGTGACAATAAACGCGAAACACAATTGGACAACCATCTCCGGAGCCATAAAGAACGCGAAGATAAAATACAACAAGGCCAGGTCCGTGAAGGACGGCATCAAGGTGTTCCCAGAGACCACCGAAGACTACAGGAACTTAATCAAGTTCCTAAACGCCCACAATGCGGAGTACTACACGTACGCATTAAAGGAAGAGAAAAAAAACAAGATGGTCATAAAGGACCTCTTTAAAGAACTACCCCTCACAGAGATCGAGGAAGACCTGAAGGCACAAGGTATAGAAGATGCAAAAGTAGTTCAGCTACTGAAGAAAAAGAGGGGAGACAAAGGAGAGAAACTGGTCTCCGAGTTCTTCATTGTGACG